ACTCGGAGGTTATTGAAACCCTAAATTAAGGGTGTTGCATCCTATATAAAGACCTTAAGTCCCTTGAGTTGGCCTCTTTTCCAGCCTCCATTGCCCTAAAACCCTAAAATCAACCTTTAGCCTCCATTCTTGTGTTTTTGAGCTCTTAAGAAGAAGTTGGTGTTTGTTTTTCTCATTTTGAAGAGATTGAAGAAGGTTGAAGGTTCATAGCTTGGTGGGAAACTTAGAGATCCAGAATCATCACTCTTTTTAAAAGCCTTTTGAGGTATCAAGTTCATACCTTTGCTTTTGAATGCTTAGATCTCTTTATGTCTTGATTTTTATGCTTTTGGTCCCTTCTTGGATTGGTTGATGAGTTAAGACGTTTGTGGGGCTTGTCCTTTTAGATCTGAACATGTTATGGGGTTCTTAAGCATAAAGGTGCAAGCTTTATGGGATTTTTGGTCACATGCAGGCATTAAGTCACCTATTAAGTCCTTCTTAACTTTAAGAGCTTCATTAAGCCATGCATACACGTAAAGTTAGCAACTTTAAGTGATAAGCCATCCCAGGGAAGTCAGATCTAGGTTTTGGAGTAAGGTCTTAAAGGATTAAGAGCTAAAAATGGAAGATGGTTGAATGGGATAGTATGCTGGGCGTACAAGCCCTATTGCATGTACGGTTAGCGTACAACTGAGTACGCCTCGCATACTCAGTTAGTTGGTCTTTGAATCTTGGATCTTCGGTTTTGGCCATTCTTTTGGGCTTTGATGTTAGGGCTCAGTTGGGCCATCTGAATTCTAGTGTTTTATGCTGGAAATATTATTGGACCTTGGATTAAGGCCCATGGAAGGGATTTGGGCCCAATTTGGAAAATTAGGCCATGTTTGGCCCTTGTATGATAACTTTGGTAAATAGGCCTTTTGGATTGTACGTTTGGGCCTTAGTCTTGGACCAAACTAGGCAAGGGGTAAAATGGTCTTTTTACCCTAGCTATGGACTGATGATTATGGATTGGAATCCAATTCAAATTGGATGTTATTTGGTATTGATAGCTCGGGGATTTGTCGTACCAGCAGCCAGAGATTTAGTCATGTGATTCAGCAGTTCGAGGTGAGTTTCCTCACTATGTGTAGCGGGTCGAAGACACCAATGCCGACCCATGATCTGTTATGTTAGAATACCCATTGTTTGTGTGACACTTGTATATGTATGTGCTTGTATGCTTACTGGGCCAGGCCTGATGGTTATTCTGTATGCGATTATCTGTTATGTTTATATGACTTGTATGTAGGTGGGGCTCGTTATGCGAGTTAGGGCGGGGACCGTTATACTCATTGGACGTGGCCGTTATGCGAGTTTGGGCAGGGCCCGTTATACTTAGTGGGTGGGGCCCGTTATGCGCGTTAGGGCGGGGCCCGTTATACTCATTGGATAGGGCCCGTTATGTGTTATATATGTATGGTATGTGGTATCTTGGGGAACTTACTAAGCTTTGTGCTTACGATTTTCAGTTTATGTTTCAGGTACTTCCAGTTTCAAAGGGAATGGCACAGGATGATTGCAGAGCACACACCACCTCGTTCCGTGTTTTGTGATTTACTCTGATTTGATATGATGATTGATACACTTGTTTTATCTGGATTGTATTGATGATGTTTTTGGAATACTGATTTTATTAAATTAAAAATGAAATTTTCGGGTCTTATTTTTAGGACGTTTCAAATTTCATGCTTAACTCAAAAACATTATACACAAGTTACATTATTGGCCGCTATGGTTGGCAAAAAAAAATACCATTACAGGTCCTTATAGTCATTTTTATTGAAACCGTTAGTTTTTCAGTTAACTCCAATGCTAAAAGTCATTTTTTCACTTCTTTTATGTCACTGTTTAAACCGTAGGGAGTCTTCTTTCCAACGTTGTCACTCCCACCACAAGAGGATCCCTTGCCTCCACCAACATCTCACCTTTTTCGCTCATTCTGTTGCATGTTCTATCGACATCCCCATTAACGCTATCAATACCTCAGCTATTTTAGCTTTTCTATTGATTAACTTTTAACAAAATTTTGAGAGAGACGTTGGAGTCGCCATTTTCCAGAACGGGGCAAGTTTCAAAGAATCTTACTTCTTTGCAAACATTATCTCTTATATACTCAATACATAGTTCATTGTCGAATATCGCATCCTCCTCACAAAAGATGGTGACAAGCCTTTAAGAGAGATTTTCAAAATCAAGCACATTCAGTTCCTCCTCAAATTTTGGTAAGTGATTTTTTAAAATCAGAAATTATTGATGCTTGGTGTAGGGATGAGTGGTGGGTGGTGAAGATTTCAAGAGAATATGAAATCAAATATTTGGTGAATTTTCAGCATCCTAAGGAAAAGCTTTTGCTCACTTTGGATGAAATAAAGTTTCATCATGATTGGGTTGATGATGTTTGGGTATATGCAAAAAGAGAGTATATTGTGTTCTTAGATCTGTTTTGTTTGGCTTATGTAATGTTTAGACCTCTATAATGGCTGGATTACTTAATGCTTTTATTAATTTATTTTGTATTTTATTGGTTTCACTCCCTTTATATGCATGTATGTGTAAGACTGTATGTGTATATATGTATGTGAGTGTTTGTGTATGTATTTGTACGTTTGAGTATGTGCATGTATGTTTGCATATGTATTTGCATGATTCTGAATGTGTATGTGTTTGTATGTCTGTATATATGTATGTTTTTATGTGTTTGTATGTCTATGTATACACAATGTCAATATAAAAGAAGAATATGAATATGATGTCTTAACAGGATTATTTTTTTGGATGTATGATCTTATTTCTGCTAAGGAAAAACCAGTGATGTTTAGGTTTCACTTTTCAGTGTCAAGTATAATGCGACAATTGGTTAATTTTTAAAATATAGTGTCTTAGATAGTATCAATTAATAAAGTAACATCTTCGAGCTTGTATTCATACAAACATATTCGCTAGATATAAATATATTGCTTCTATTTACTAAATTTTAATGATAACCAAGTGTTTTCATTAAACTATGTGTAGTTTGAAAAGGAAGTGTATGATATCTTTTTGGTAAATAATTTGATTATAAAATCCCTATCATGGTTGTCATGATCATGCTCTAGTTGACCAATGATGTCTAATAGGAATCATAGATTTGAAATTTCTGTCATCTAAAACATAGCTTTCATGTTCATCACAAATTTTTAATTAATCTTGGCCTACATCATCATAAATTAATCTTAGTTTTTCCTAGGAATCAAGTTCTCTAACGCCACACTATGGAAGGCCAATGGATGTCCATTTCATTAGGAAGTTGTACTTTATGCATAAAATATGATATATCTTAAGAATACTCGAAATTAAATGATAATTCCTCTTTGTAACTCAGAACTATAAGATGCATAATTTTTTGGATTCATCTGAATCTAAGATTAGTAAAGTGCCGATGTTTAGTACAGGCAATAAAGTGGCTAATTAACCTCTTTTCCAAGTACACACATGATTATAGCATGATTGTTTTTGATACGAAAACTTTTGATCAATAAGTCAAGTAAAGGCCGATGCACTTTTATTTGTTAAGTATGGTTATTATTAATAAAAGAATCTATATACCTTGTTATTATAAGGTAAGAAACTATAAGTATGTTGGTATTATGTGTAAAACTGTAATTACATTGTTGTTATGTGTAAATAATTATTAATGTGATGCTATGATGAGTTAAATATTGCTATTTTCTGTATATATATATATATATATATATATATATATATATATATATATATATATATATATATATATATATAAGTATATTGTTATTATGGATATAAAGACACTGTTATTGTGGTTAAAAATAAGATATATTAACGAAAAAAATATATCTACGTTGACATTTTCTGTAATTTTTCCAAACAAACTTATTACCAAATCAATGTTTGGGTCCATAAAATTTGTATTTTGTGATTGCATGTGAACATAGCAGAATTGATGGTTACCAAACCTATGGTCGACAACCACCATAAGTCCATGAGCCACAAAGGACGAATTCCATCGATGGAGTTGCATAAGTGGTCCATGATTCACACAACTTCCATGGAATCCAAGCCTAAATACTACGTTTGAATCCATAGATGTGGCCAATGCTATACAACAAAAAGGTTTACATCACACGGGAGTATCTTATGTAGAAAGCTCTAGGTCTTTCTAATAAGACAATTCTGTAATAATGAATCATGTTTTTTCTTTCAGTTGGTGACTTTGATGATACTTTATACCAAACCGAATAAGGACGAATGTAATGGTATGAGTGACCCTTTATACTGCTTACGTTTTTTTTTAACTTTTTAACTTTTTTACAACACAAACAATTGTATGATATGAGATCAATATGAACGGTGAAAGACGTTTAGCTCATTATTCATACATGTATATTCTCTTCAAATCTTTTTACCAAGTAGTCTGTGGTCCAATGATGCTAGAATTTTACTCGATGACTTAATAAAAATATTACTTAAATCTGTGAGTTAATGAAAGATAAACAACTTAATAGAGAAAATAAGGATAAGTTTATATTTTTCCTATCAAGCCATACTTTTTACAAATAAGGAGAAGTTAAGTTTTTCCCACTAAGCTAATCTTTTAACAAATCTTTATTTTTTGCTTTCATTCGCCTAAAAGTAGGTAATGTTGTTAAATATTTTGTAAACATCCTTCGGACAACAATTAGTAGAAAAAAAAAATAGAACCTTATAGTCACCAAATTAGCTTTCTATTCGAGTTATTTTTACATATATATTTTCATGCATTAAAAGAGCTTTGCTTGAACGATATGCAATCCTTTCATATTAGACGACACCTTAAAGATTACAAGTTTAAATCATCGAAAACTTCTTTAGAATCGGTTGCCTTCAATGATATTCAAACAAACTGTACACCATAACAACAATCTAACAAAAAAAAAACCCACAACCTCAAAAAAAATGAAAAAAAAACATTAAAATTCTCACTAATTCATTACTGGTTCAAGATCCTTTAAAAGTCCAACCACCTGTTGCATACTCGGCCGCTTGGCCGGAAGATCAGCCGTACATAAATACCCAATCTTCAATGCCTCCACCATTTGAGCCTCGATTCCTGTGTTATGAATCTTTGGATCTATCGCCAAAAACCCACAATTCTTCCTCACTAAACCTCTCACCCAACTCACCAAATTCGAATCTTTTGAGTTATTTTCATCTGGGTATTCATCTTCAACCGGGTTTTTCCCTGATATTAACTCAAGAAGAATCACTCCAAAACCATAAACATCGGATTTTGGAGTAATCACATATGGTGACGAACTATTCGAGCTTCCATCTTGATTCAAAAACTCGGGTGGGACATACCCAAAGGACCCACGCGCCATTTCATCTTGAAGATCATTCCCAAAGATTTTCGCGAGTCCAAAATCCGATAATCTTGGTTCAAGATTCAAATCAAGATAAACACTGCTCGCCTTGACGTCCCTATGGATGATCGGTGGCGAACATCCATGGTGGAGAAACGCAAGTGCGCGAGCAGTGCCTAACGCGATTTTATGCCTAAATTGCCACGTGGCCAACAAATCTCCTGACCCCGTGTGTTGAATCCCAATACTGTTACCGTTAGTAATACTGTTACTGATACTGTTATTTTCATCTGCTTCTGCTTGCCATGTATCAAAACGCCAATCATCCGTGGTTTGAATTCCAAGCGGAAGATCGTGGAGCAAATTATGCAAGTTGCCATTCTCCATGTAATCGTAAATCGCGATTCTTTTTTCACCCGCGAGACAATATCCGGTTAAAGGAACAAGATTCGGGTGTTTTATTCTGCCAAGATACTCGAGCTCTCTAGCTGCTTCTTGATCGGTCATGGTGGATCCAAGAACTAGAACTTTTACGGCTACATGGATCCCACCGGGTAAAAACCCGCGATAAACCGGACCAAAACGCCCTTCGGCCAAAAGGGTACCCCTATCAAAATTCGAAGTGGCGGATAGAAGATCGGAAAAGGTGAAATTTAGTAATGGCTTTTCAAAGATAACTACAGGGACTAAATTTGCAACTTTTACATCTGCTACCCATGTGGTTGAATCCGTTTGGAATGAAAATGGACCCGAAATCACTTGTTCTTCTTTATATGAATCTTGCTTTACGGCCCACATTTGGGTTTTTTTCCGACAACCGAATGCACAAAATAGCAATGCCCCGAGTAAAACGATCAATGAAATGGTTAAAGCTAAAGCAAGCTCGAGTCCTTTATGGGTATGAGTTTTGGTCTTTAAAAGATTAGGGTTTGCAGCAATTGGGCAACTATTTGATGAACCGATGAAAGCAGAGTGAAGGGTTTCGAGGGAAAATTGTGCGTCACAAAGGGTTAGATTATTGTAAGAAAAGTTGAATCTTTCCATCCATGGAAGCTTTCTCAAGAGCGAAATGGGTATTTCACCGGTTAGATTATTGAAAGAAAGATCGAGATTTTGGAGGGTTTTTGAGGTCAAAAGTGGGATTTTACCAGTGAGATGATTACTCGAGAGATCGAGTGTTTTCAGATGAGTTAACATCGAGATTTGGTCACCAATTCCGCCGATTAGATTCGTGTGGGACAAGTTTAAGTATTCTAAACTAGGAATTTGATCGATTTTGAGAAAATTTTGCTTCGAAAATCTGTTGTTGGCGAGATTAAGGTGTTTGAGATTATGGGTTTCACTTAAATTACTGAAAAATTCCCCACTAACTTCATTATCGGAGACATCAAGATAAACTAATGAACTAAAGTTTACCTGAGAAATAAGACCTTCGAAGTGATTACTACTCAAATCGACCACTTCCAATGACTCCTGAAAGATTTCAACAACAGAACCCTGAAAAAGATTCTTGGAAATGTTAAGGTATTTTAAAGATTCTAATTTCGAAAAATCTGAATCTTTTCCCTTCATTTCATTTCCAGCAAGATTCAAGCTTTTGAGTTTGGGAAATGACGAACTAAAACCATCGGGAAGACTTCCATTGAAACTGTTGGAAGAAAAGTCAAGAGAAATCAATGAACGACATGCTAAGATTCCCAATGGAACAGTGGAATCGAACCCATTTCGATTGAGATTAAGAACTTGTAAACTGATTAACGAACTAATCGATTCAGGGAGACTACCGAAGAAATTATTGAACGAAAGGTCTAATTTTTCAAGTGAACCGAAGTTTCCGATGTTACTCGGAAGATTCATGGAGATTGTGTTGTTCGAAAGATTAAGAGTTTTCAGTGAACCCAAACTCCAAAAATCATTAGGCAAATTAGTGATCTGATTACTGCTTAGATCCAAAGATTGAAGCTTTGTGAGTTTGCCGATTGTGTTATCGGGGATTGAACCAGAAAGACCCATATTAGGAGCATTTTAGACCTATGACATGTTCTTGATTGGCATCACAGAAAACAACTTGCCATGAACAAACGGGTGAAGAAAAATTGTAAACATGAGAAATCGAAGAATTTAAAATACCCATTTTCTGAAAGAAATCAGAGATGAAGAACTCATCTGTATTGGGAATGGGTGTGGGCTGTTCTTGTTGTTGACCAAGGTTTGACCTGAAGAACAGAGTAAGAAGAACAATTGAACCAAAGTGAGCAAAACCCATGTTCGGAAAAGGAGTTTTCAAGACTCCAAGAAAGCGCTTCGGTTTATCATCAATTTGAGTTTAACTCAAACACCACCACCCGCCGCCGCAGCCACCGCCATCCACCGCCGATCGACTACCCTAAATGAATTGGGTATTTTCAAGAAATTTACGAGAAAGACGAGTTTATCGCCATTTATATATTTCCCCTTCAAAAGAGATGGGCTTTAGCTTATTTGGGGATTGGAGGCACGAGCAAGCCAAAAAGAGAAAACAAGAAAATTAAAAGAGATTTTGTCTTTCTGTTGAAAGGGGCAATAAAGGCATCAGGAAAAGGTTTGATTTTTATATAGTTCTTTAATGGGAAAAGAAATTGGGTAAAAAATGTTGGGAAGAGAAATTCACAGTGAAGTGGTTTGGAAAATTCATTAATGGACATGATGAAAAAGGGTTAGTGGGCAAATGTCGATTGGTTGGTGAAATCATAAGAACATGCTTTAATAGAATTCAATGATCATCAAGCAAAAAAATTATAATTGTGAAAATTATAAATTGATTATTTATCTTTTTTTTAAAAGATATTCAATTTATATTTTAGAATAATAATAATAACTAGATATTGCTCATTCATCGTTTCGCGGATATGCAGGTCGTGAGTCTACTTATGTATATTTTGTTGGTGATGCATAAATTTTCTATTTGGTAGGGATCATTTTTATATTTTCTTTAAATAGATGGGCTGTTTCTATAAAAAAAATTGACCAAACCTGCCAACATAAGAAAGTATTGAACACAAGGATCGCTTCTGTAACATAAAATCTACTTAGGGACCTTTTTTTTAATTTTCATGGGCATTTTTTGTAATTTGTTTTGTACACAAGGACCAAACTTATCGTATGAAAGTGTTGTTGTTAGAGTGAATGTTGCACATAAAGAAGAACCAAAGTTCCAATTATTCTTAGGGAAAATGTCACTGTAGCACAATGAAGTTATGTGATTTGTCCGACTTAACTAATTATGTTTTTTTTACACATTAGGTCATCTAACTTTTACTGGAGATATCAATTAGGTCATTATCGTTAGTTTTTAACAATTCCTTCGTTAAATAGTTATCTAAATTACACGAATGGTCGTTATGGTTTAAATTTATTTCGTAGTTGGTCCCCTACCAGCCATGATTTTAATTATATGACCACAATTGTCACATTTCTGAAACTTTGGGAACCAAAGTCTAACATTTTAATCATCTTCCCCATCAAATCTGGTTGAAACACGAATGCATCCCCGAAACAATTGGGTTCTTAGTTCTTCTTCGGTTGTATGATGTGTTCTTGGTTCTTTCTCACAAATTGATTGAACTCATTTGGAACCCATAAACCATGTCCCTGAATTTTAGGTTTTCGATATATATTTTTTCATTTATTTGAATGGGTTGATTAATTATGGGGTCAATTGAGTTCTTGAAAGCTTAAAATGTCATCGTGTTTAGGTTCAAGAGCTTATGGGTTTAATATTAATCAAATGATCAAATGGCCACGTACTGGTACTATTTCCAGTAAAACAATTTTAAATTTGTTGTCCCCAAGTTCAACCTTATCGGAATCAAGCAATTATCCGATTGCAATTTCCACTCGAAAGCCACGAGCACCTCGAAAACGACCAAATCAAACTTACAATTAAGCAGTTGCTCTGTTGTTCATGGGGAAATCAAAATCGAATCGAATTGTGTTTCTGTGAAATTGAGCGATGAGGGTCTTGATGATTTTGATACTCAGTCTCTTCTTGATGAGGAAATATAACAGGGGATTGATAGTATCATGGGGGATTCGAATTCCATTCTAGTAAACGATGAATCAAATGATATTATTTCAACTGATTCCAACACTAGCCATTGCTACCCAATGGGATTGGGATTCGGGGCTAGAAAACAGAGTGAAAGTGTTGAGAAACGACGATGAAGGAAACTAGTGGAGGATTCTGATGGTGGACATGGTAGATATTACACCGGTGCCACCGGTGAAATGTGAAAAATCTTCGGTTGGAAACAAGAAGAAAAAAGAAGAAAGTGAAGGAATTGATGAAGTCGGAACACGAGGATTTCGGTTCCAGAAAGCAACGGTTGCTACTGAAATTGAATTACGATGTCGTTTTAAATGCTTGGTCAAATAGATGGTCGCCGTTGTTGGAGGAAATTTCGCAGTCGGCGTCTCCGGGAGACGATGTACATGTATGTAGTCTCTTTCTATCAATAACCAAGTACTTTTTAATCAAATACAAATTACAAGAATATTAGCTATTTACGTTTTAATCATTTTAAATGTTTGATTTATATTTTATATGGGTCATGCTAATTTTCTTGAAAAATGTTCTATTGAAATGTAATTAAAAAAATGTTCTTGTGAGAAAGAACCAAGAACCCAATTGTTTCGGGGATGCAACCAGATTTGATGGGGAAGATGATTAAAATGTTAGATTGTGGTCCCCAAAGTTTCAGAAATATGACAATTTTGATGGTATAGTTTAAACCATGGTTGGTAGGGGACCAACTACGAAAGAAATTTAAATCATATGGGTCATTCGTGTAATTTAGATAACTATTTAACGGGGGAATGGTTAAAAACTAACGATAATAACCTAATTAACATGTACAGGAAAAGTTAGATTACCTAATGGTTAAAAAAAAAAAAAAATACATAATTGCCTCCATTGTTCTTAACTTATCGTTAAAGTCACTTGTCAAAGAATATAAAATAAAAACCTTTTATTTTTTATTTTTGTGGTGAAAGTATAAAACTAAAAAAATATACTATTTCTAAGCAATTTATTTTAGACAAAATTTCACAATTGGTCCCTATGGTTTATAAAATATCGCACTTTGAGGACTTCCTAGCAAAAAGTCACGTGACTGGTCCCTGTGGTTTGTAAAATTACATGAAAGGTCCTCCTGCCGTTAAATCTAACTTTTCAGCAGTTACATTTTAATGGAAAATACTATTTTGCCCTTGTACCAAATATTACAATACACTACAAACCTCAAGGACCATTCATGTAATTTTATAAATTTGAAAATTTATATATATATATTATATTATAGATATATATATATATATATATATATAATATATATATATATATAAATTATAAATTTCGCATTTTTTATTTATATAAATTATAAATATAAAATTTATATATGTATATATATAATTTCAACAATTTGATAATTTTTTTTATCTTTTTGACATTTTGTTTTCTATTTTTATTTTATAGTTTTAGTTATTTATGGTTTTTTGTTATATTTTTATTTATTTTGAATCAAGTAAATAAACTTAAATTCGATAAACCATATCGAAATTATTTTTCTTTAATTTTTATTATTTGTGAATTGAAGCGTTAATGTTTTTTTATTTATTTTTTTTTTTTAATTTTATGTCATTACTGTTTTTGTTTTTTTTTGATGCGTTAATATCGTTAGCAACTTTAAATTTGCATTTATCATTATCATTATTTAACCTTTTGTTTTCTATTTTTGTTATAATTTTAATTATTTATTATTCTTCTATTGTTTTTATTTATTTTGATTGAAGTAATAAAAAATAGAAAAACAAAAAACAAAAACTCAAACACACCAAATTCTAATATACTCTAATATATTAATACATTTTACATTTTCATCTTTTTTTTAGTTTTTTCGTATTTTTTTTAAATTTTTTAGTATTATTTTTTTTAATTTTTTTCATATTATTTTTTAATTATTTCCTATTTTTATTTTTTAATTATTTCCTATTTTTAATTTTTTCCTTGTTTCGTTTTTATTTTTCATCAACTTGATAACTTTTTTTGACCTTTTCCAAAAAGTGTAAAATGTAGGAATATATTAGAGTATATTACAATTTTGATGTTTGAGTTTTTTTGGTTTTTTATAATTTTGGTTATTTATGGTTTTTGTAACTTTTTATTTTGATTCGCGTAAATAAAATAGTTATATATACAAATATAAATAAAGAAAATAAACATAACTTTTTTATTTACACAAATCAAAATAAAAAAAAGTTACAAAAACCATTAATAACCAAAATTAATAAAAAAAAATGCGAAAAAAACCAAAAAATATGAAAAATGTAAAATGTATTAATATATTAGAGTATTTTACAACTTTTGGGGTTTGAGTTTTTGGTTTTTTGTTTTTCTATTTTTCATTACTTGAATCAAAATAAATAAAAACAATAGAAGAATAATAAATAACTAAATATATATAAAAAACAACAAAAGATAAAATAATGATAGTGATAAATGCAAACATAAAGTTGCTAACGGTATTAACTATAGAACATCAAAGTAAAATAAATAAATAAATAAATAAAATAAACCGTAACAACAAAAAATTAAAAAAAAACATTAACGTTTCATTTCATAATTAAGAAAAAAAGGTTTCGATATGGTTTATCGAACTTAAGTTTATTTATTTGAATCAAAATAAATAAAAACATAAAAAAAACCATAAATAACTAAAATTATAAAATAAAAATAGAAAATAAAATGTCAAAAAGATAACAAAAAATTATCAAGTTGTTGAAAAAATATATATACATATATATAAAATTTACATTTATAATTTATATATATACGAAATTTATATTTATAATTTATATATACATAAAATTTCAAATTTATAAAATTACACGAATGGTCCTTGAGGATTGTAGTGTATTGCAATACTGGTACGAGGGCAAAATAGTCTTTTCCATTAAAATCTAACTGCTGAAAAGTTAGATTTAACGGCAGGAGGACCTTTCATGTAATTTTACAAACCACAGGACCAGTCGCGTGACTTTTTGCTAGGAAGTCCTCAAAGTGAGATATTCTGTAAACCACGGGGACCAATTGTGAAATTTTGTCTTTATTTTAATATATGTCATAATATTAAAAGTGTTGATAAGCTATTAAACATTTTTCAAAATATTTTTTTTTACAATTTTTAAGAAGTTATTTTTTCAAAAGTCTATGCTTTCTTAATTTTTTTAAAAAAGGCTTATTATCTTAAAACTATAAGTGGCTAATGAGGTTCAGTTCAATTAGACGGAGACATACTTCAATTTTTCCTTCCCATGGGTTTTTGGGAGAATAGTACCGAGTTTTATCCGTGTCCAAATCAGTGAAACCCCTTAATTGAAAACTAGGTTGCTAAGGATGTTGTTGTTATCTTTTCGGAGAGGCATTTGAACCCGAGTTCGTTGGGTGTTATGACATACTGTTGTATTAGATATCACTGTCCACAACACCAAACTACCTTAAAAACCAGAGTAAATTACAGAAATGGTCCTTGTGACTTTGTCAAATTCTCAGTTTTGTTCCCTAAGTTTAAAATTTGATAGGTTACATCTATGTGGTTTGCGAAAATTGCCCTCTAGGTCCTTGGTCCATATAAAAAGATCAAATTACCCTTTCTTTCTTTTTTTCATTTTCTTTTATATATATATATATATATATATATATATATATATATATATATATATATAAACTGTTCTTTATCTTTATTTTAATAGAATATTTTAATAGAATTAATATAGATTATTTATAAAATTATTTTTATTTTTTAAATCAATTATCTAAATTATATAAACTCATATTATTATTATTATTATTATTATTATTATTATTATTATTTATTGCTTTTTTTATTTATCTTTATTTTTTTTGTTTAAAAATCTTTTAATATTTTTGAGGTTTTATTTAAATATATTTTTTAATGTTGTTTTTTTTGACGTTTTGTTCATCCAATATAATTATTTAATGTTGTTTTTTATATGTTCTTTGTTTACATTATTCACTTATATGTATGGTTGTAAACGAACTGAACGTTCGGTACACTACTAGAAAAACAACCTTTTACGACGCGTAATGCGTGTCGTAAAATGCTCAGACGACGCGCAAGTGCACGTCAAGAAAGGTCTTGTCATAACGGAAGACGACGCGCATTTGCGCGCCGTCTGTTTACGACGCGCATTTACGACAATCATTTACGATGCGCATTTACTACGCGCATTTACGACGCGCAGTTATGACGCGCAATGCGTATCAAGAAAGACCCTGTCATAAATAAAGACGACACACATTTGCGTGTCGTAACCTTACGACGCGCGTGTTTATGACACATAATGCGTATCAAGAAAGGCTCTGTCATAAAGGCAGACGACACGCCATTGCGTGTCGTAACGTTACGACGCGCCTTTACGACTCGCAATGCGTATCATTAAATCTACTATCATAATCGAAGATGACATGCATTTGCATGTCATAAATTCCAGCTGCCAGTTATATGTTCTTTGTTTACATTATTCACTTATATGTATGGTTGTAAACGAACTGAACGTTGGTACACTACTAGAAAAACAGCCTTTTACGACGCGCAATGCGTGTCGTAAAATGCTCAGACGACGCGCAAGTGCACGTCAAGAAAGGTCTTGTCATAACGGAAGACGACGCGCATTTGCGCGCCGTCTGTTTACGACGCTCATTTACGACACGCATTTACGATGCGCATTTACGACGCGCATTTATGACGCGCAGTTATGACGCGCAATGCGTATCAAGAAAGACCCTGTCATAAATAAAGACGACACACATTTGCGTGTCGTAACCTTACGACGCGCGTGTTTATGACACGTAATGCGTATCAAGAAAGGCTCTATCATAAAGGCAGACGACACGCCATTGCGTGTCGTAACGTTACGACGCGCCTTTACGACTCGCAATGCGTATCATTAAATCTACTATCATAATCGAAGATGACATGCATTTGCATGTCATAAATTCCAGCTGCCAGTTATATACCCCTTTACGACGTGCATTTACGACACACATTTACAATGTGAATACATATAATAAAAGACAAATATATATACCAAAACATTCATTTTCATCTAAACGTCAAACAACTTACCTAACAACATTACATACATGTCAAGTTACCTTAAGTAACATTACTAAAAGTTAGCAAAAACATGTACATGTGTGTCAAAAGACTACCTAGCATTACAACACATGTCAAAAGACCATACCTAGCATTTCACTGTTAACCATAACATTGTTTTGCGGATAGATTGTCAAAAGACCATAATCATCGATAAATGAAGCCTGTAACAAACTCTGACCATTCTTCACGTATCTCATCGATATCATCAGTTGTGTACTCAACTTTGCTATCCCCGATTTGTGAAAAAAATTGCATATTGTTTTTATTAATAAAAAATAGCATATTAACATATTCTGTAACAGTAAGTTGCTATATTTAACAAATAAGCATAAAATGTAAATTATTCTTTCTTAATAGGGCATTGTACTTTCAAATGAATGAAAGCACATTTTAATTTTGCATGTAACCTAATATTTCAATTATAATTGTGAGAGTAGGATGCCATAAAATGATCCTTTTTCAATTCCTTTCCTATTAAATTATAGTAATGAAAGTAGAATGCTATATCCTTACATTGTCTTTGACCAACACTTCAATTCCTTCTTCCACTATCTCCTTCATGAACCTTAGCATGTAGTAGCCACATTCGGTAGCTCCGGGCTGAACTGGACACTACACAATTACATATAAAATGATCATTGCAATTGATCCAAAAAATAAAGTTAAAACTACAATTTCAATAAGGAATTAAGTGCTGACCGTAACATTAACCCAATTTAGTTTAACCCTTTTGTTGGATCCACTTTGTGTAGCGTACAGAACCATTGCCCTATAAAAAGCATCAACAAATAGGTGTTTATTGTATTCACATCAACTGTTTTGATAATTTATATTACTTACGAATCAACAATTTGCTTCAACTGCATATTGAAATTGCTAGAACTCAAGGAATCAAGATAATAGCAATTATCCGATTTCATGTCTAGTACACCCAATACCCAATGTCTTCTACAAAAACCACAAACAAAATTAAGTCAAATAATTAACATAATTGCAGTCATTTTCAAAATAAAATGTCAAAATCAAACGCGGGATTGTAGGGCATAAAGATGATGTCATTGCCCTTTCTTTTAGACAACCGATCTGCTAAACCTCTTCTTGCATTGTCAATATTCTTAGATTTCCCTTTACGCGTACTTGGCGAAAATACCACAAAACTTTTGATAGGAAAATACCCTTTAGACAACCGATCTGCTAAACCTCTGCTTGCATCGTCAATATTCTAAATCTAGGGATGATAGGAAAATACCACAAAACTTTTGAAGGTACGTTTTTGGTATTCTTCTTCCAACGAGAAGTGCCACAAGTTGGACATTGAGAAACATCTTTATGTTCTTTCCAGAATAGAACACAATCATTTTCACATGCATGAATCTTCTCATATTGTAGACCTACTCCTTTTATCAACTTCTTGGACTCATATATCGAGCTAGGGATGGTATTGTTTGATGGTAAGATATCTTTTAGGACAAACAACAAAGCATCAAAACTAGCATCAGACCATCCAAACTGACCCTTCAAATTTTGGAATTTCAATAATCCACTAAGTGCATTATACTTTGACCCTACATAAAGTGGCTTATCACATTCTTCAAGAAGTGATTTCAACGAATCAGGTTCTTCGTCTACATATTTGAAGGCATCATGTAGCATATCCTTTGTATAAATAGCATCAGGAGGAATGGAATTGTTAGGGCATCTAGAATCACTCTTGGGTTGTTTTTCTCCATGGAAAGACCAAATTTTATAATTCTCATCGAAGCTGTGGGCAAACAAATGATAACGGACATTGTCAATTGAGTGGTGACACAAATTGATGCAATTTACACAAGGGCATGGAATAACATCTAACTTCGGATTATTAGTTTTTGCAAACTCTAGAAAAGCATTCACACCTTCATCATATGCATTTTATAATCTACTAGAGGAAATCCATGATTTATCCATTAACATTTGTTTCCAACCTACATAATTATTTACCATTTAAAGCAATAATGATTACGCATGTTTAGGGACAAAAACTGTGCAAAAGCAAAACTGTACAGGGCCAAAACTGTACAAGGACAAAAAACTATACAGGAGCCAATCTTGACAAAAAAACTGTTCAGGGGCCAATCAGATGTCAAATACATGTTCAGGGGCCAATCCTTTACAAAATTTTATATTTGTATTTGTTGTGCAAGGACAAAAAAACTGTACAGTGGCCAAAACTGATGCAGGGACCAAAACTGTACAGGGACAAAACTAAAGCAGGGACCAAAACTGTGCAAAAACAAAACTGTATAGGGTATCAATTACTTTTTCAGCATCCATTTATTTTTATTTATTTATTAATTTAGTTAATTAATTTTTCAGCATGTTATTAGTATAAATCAATGTTTTCTTTTTATTGTAGTTCCGGATTGCATGTTGTTCATATTACTTTTTCAGCATGTTATTAGGGGTAGTTTAGTCTTTTGTTTAGTTCAGGATTGCATGTTGTTCATATTACCTTTTCAGCATGTTGTTAGGGGTAGTTTAGTCTTTTGTTTATTTCAGGATTGCATGTTGTTCATATTACTTTTTCAGCATGTTATTAGTGGTAGTTTAGTCTTTTTTTCAGCATGTTATTATGTGTATCTGTTTCTTTATACTATTAAAATTTTGAATATGAGCTTGTTTGAATATTTTTATATGTTTTTTATAAAATTTTATGAGCTTTTACAGAAATTTGAAAGTTAGAAATACTGTTAAAATTTTGAATATGAACTTTTACAGAAATCTGAAAGTTAGAAATTTTGAATATGAGCTTGTTTGAATATCTTTATACTATCTGCTCTTGCTGTATAAGTACTATAAATGTTTCAAGAACATAATTATGCTACTTGTTTGTCATCTTTCAAGAACATATATGTATGTTTGAGGATTCATGTCCATAATATTTAAAGTGAGAGATACTTTTAACCATTTTACTTGGCTTTAGCTTCCTTGTAAAAAGCCTAACAGAGTTGAAGTCAACCAAAGCATATCAGAAATGGGCTAAACAGGTGTCCAACACAAAACCACCTGCAAACCCGTTACTTCATAATTTATGTGTGTGACCTTTTTACCCTTGGGTGGTCAATCTGTTTAAAATTAACTTTATTTTTCAATATGTAATTATCTAACTGTAATATTTTCTTTAATAAATATAGATTGCTCCAAGCCCAATCTTACAAATATAAATACATGCATTTGATATTTTGTTTGATGTATTTTTAAACAGTTACATTTTTAGGTATTAAATAGTATATACAAGGATTCATTTTTGATAGATAGAAAGTAAATGCCATAATTAGGTATTAACTGTCAGTTGGTTAGATAGAAAGTAACTGCCATAATTAGGTATTAAATAGTATATACAAGGAATCATTTTTGATTTTATGTATGTTTGAGGATTCATGTCTATTTCTTGACCCTGTATGTTGGTTCAACATTTGAATGATGTTGGTTCCTTACTTTTGTTTTATCTGTGTACATTTTGTTGATTTTAGCTGATTGGGCGTATTGTAATTAATTCGTTCCTTTATCTGTGCGGGTTCTCAGTATTCAGTCTACATTGTTCAGGTTCGTTTTGCTATTCGTCCCCTTCCACCGTTTGACTGCAAATTTGTTTGAGTTATTGGAAATTGGCATTAGATTATCGCTTTTCCATGTTCGATCAAAATCAGGAAATTAGTTACAGTGATTTTGATGACACGTCTATTTGATTATTTTCTACTAGTTACAGGAAATTAGTTACAGTGAGGGTCATTTTTGTCAGGTATTTGATTATTTTCTACTAGTTACAGGAAATTAGTTACAGTGAGGGAAAGTTCCAAATGGAAAACAACTTTGGGAGTTGATAAAAGGCCTAGAAGCCAACAATCTACTATACTACACACCTCTATTGACAAGTATTTGATTATTTTATATCTTTTTCTAAAACAAAAAAGCATTTTATTTAACATGACTACTTAGAAGAAGAATTATGATTTGATGGTTTTGTTGATGCATTTACAAATTACAATTACAGGTTACATTGGTTCAGTTTCTTTCTTTGATAATGTGTTAGAAGTAGTTAAAAAGCTTCGATCCATCAATCCTACACTTACATATGGTAAGTTATGAAGGATATGTTTTCTTTTTGAGACTTGTGAATACCAGATATTGGGAAAAAGAAGATTCTGGTGGGAAGGGTAGTTTTAGTTTTACAACTTTTACTTACTTGGATTGTTATTTGTGGTGTTAAAGTTATGTTGATTTAGTGATAAGTTGCTTGGGACTCCACTGGACAAATGATCTTCCTGGTGCAATGATACAAGTAATGATACTTATGTGAAAAGACGATTACGTCCTTCTCAATAGCAGCCTACAGGAACTAATGTACTGATAATTGGCTACTTGCTTTATATGTGTGACAGAGTAGGTTGGCATTGAAACCTGATGGCTGGTTTTTAGCAGCTATTTTTGGTGGAGAAACACTAAAGTTAGTTATATTTTTTATTTTTCTTGCAAAATGGAAGTTTACACAAGATGAAACCATGAAAAGAGCAGCTATAATCGACAATCGGAGGAGAAAACCCAACTAAGTGCAAGCATATACATGAGGAGAAAACCCAACTAAGAGCATCGGTTTTCTTGAAATGTTACGTTGTGTTCAAATTGAGAAGCTTCAGAATGTGAGAAACCCTTGAATGTGTTCAATTTATCATCGATTTCATAGATACCAGGCGCTTCTTCCCCTCATTCTGCTCTTGCTCTTCTGTCACTTGATTCTAGCAAATAGAGATGAAAGTTAGTTCTCTGGCCAACCGGGGAAGTTTCAGCAGGAACACCAAGCTCAAGTAACTTCTCCAATACCTTAGTCGGACCTAGGGCACGTAAAATTGAATAGTCTCCAACGATGGCAGGAGAGCCCAAGCTCGTCGGCGATGCGAAGTCAGCCGGAAGAGAAGGAACCTAACATCGTCGGAGGGGAAGTCGCCGGAAGAGAAGGAACCTAACGTTGTCGGAGGGGACATTGTCTGCAAGGCGAGTCGACGATCGATTGTAGAGAGAGAGTGTATTGAGTGATGATCAGAGTGTTTTGATCTTTGTTGAAAAGCCCTAGATATGTTTAGCGGATACCTCGATTTTCGAAACAAGAGCGCGTCTCATTAAAATTAAAAGGAGGCGGTTATAGAGGACGCACGTTTAATGGAAAGCGCCCTCCGTGTTTTTGATTTTTTTCTTTAAGACAACTAGTCTAAAGGCACGCAATAATGCGTGACATATATGCTTAAAATTTTTGAAGAGAGGACACCATTTTAAGGTCACTTCCATTTGCGTAACATAAATCACGGAGTGTCGTGGATTGCACGTCGTAAAAGGCTATCTTTCTAGTAGTGGTAACGTTCGTGAACTGTTTGGCGAGAAGTTCGTTTATGTTTGTTTATTTAATAAATGAACGAACATTAAAAAAAATTAACGTTTGTTTAATTAAACGAACGAACATGAACAATGGTCTCGTTCGTTCATTTATGTTCATGAACGTTCGTTTATGATGTTCGTTTACGTTCATTTATATTCGTTCGTTTAATTTATTTATATTTATTTATGTTCAATTTTTTTTATTATATTACCATATTATATATTCGTTTATGTTCATATATGTTCAATTGTATTTGTTTATCATTGTTCGTTTATGCTCGTATAGTATGTTCACGAACATAAAGGAACGAACATTAACAAGATAATTTGTTAAACGAACAAACATGGAAAAGAAAATCTCATTCCTTTATCCGTTCGTGTTCGTTTAGTTTGTTCACGAACATATGTCAGTGATTCTTTTTTGACGTTTTGTTCATTTAATTTATATAATGATTTTTTTCGAATCCTCTCTAATAAATGAATGTTTTTTTGTCACTTGTAAAATTCTCAAAAGTTTTGCCACATGTAATTTTGTGGAAGTTTTAGAATTACTATTTTCCAATTGTCGTTTTTTGGGAATTTCCATTTTTTTAAAATATAATTCCATAAAATTCTAAGGAGTTTATAAGGAATGAGAATCATTCTATTAATTTGATAATAAAGTCTCATAATTGTTCTAAAGAATATTTGATTTCATTTATAAATGTTCCAAAAGATTACATTATGTTATGTAACATTGTTATTTTATAAAATATTTAATGTTTAAATATTGATATTAAATTTCTATTTTTAATAAACCCGTGTATTACACGGGTCTTACACTTAGTAAACAAATTAAAACAATAACCCGAATAACTATCATTCTTCGAATAAAATTTTTTAATATTTGTTTTTTTCTCTTTCTTTTAACGATATATATATATATATATATATATATATATATATATATATATATATATATATATATATATATATATATATATATATATATATTACCATGGTTTCGAGGGAGAATTACTATTCATTAGCCTAAATTCAAATCATATTATAATTGTTGAAGATAAAATGCAAATAAGCTTCTAATTGGAAATAGCAAGTTTGATTCTTCTTATAACAAACTTTTATATTTACACTTTTCCCTTCAACTAATTTTGAATTACCAAATGGCTTCTAGCGCAACGGTATCCGGTGTTGTCTTCCCTCCTTGAGGTTGATGATTCAAGTCCCGTCATAGACATATATGA